TCACCCTCCCTGTGGGCTCCGAGTTGGGGCTGAGTCACCAGTGGATGGCTTGATGGAGAATGGGAAAGCAATAGGAACCTGGGGGAAGATGGTGGGTTATTTTGTCAGAAGTCAAGACAACCAGCATGGGATTTTTAAATTTTACGTCTTTTAATGTATTTAGTACAGGGTCTCACCATAGATTGGACTCAGTGATCCCTATTTTTTGCCTGGTGTGTACTCAATTGTGAAGTCTCAATTGCCTTCAGTGTGTGTGTGAGTGGGTGGGTGCAGCACACATACAGGGGATTAAACCCTGGTCCCTGTGCATGTTTAGACAGGTGCTTTAGTCCAGCTGAGCTATCTGGTCAGCCGTGTGTGTGTCTGTCTTTCTGAGACAGGGTCTGTAATCCAGGCTGGCTTTGAGCTCACTTTGTAAGCAGGCTGGTCTCAAACTCAGTATTATTTTATCTCAGCCTCCCAAGTGCTGCGATTATAGGCATGTGACACCACACCTGGCTGGGATTTGTGTGTGTGTGTGTGTGTGTGTGTGTGTGTGTGTGTGTGTAAAACCAGGTATTGAACTCAGGCCCTGTGTTTGCCGGGCAAGTGCTTATTCCACTGAGCCATCTCCCTGGCCCCATGGGATTTGTTCTTATAAAAGAGCAAAGGTGCTAACTGAAGGAAGCTCAGTCAATGGGGTAGCTGTGTGTGGTGGTACCTGCTTGTAATTGCAGCATCCAGTTTGGAGGCTGCAGCAGGAGGAGCACACGTTTGAGGTCTGTCTGGGCTACCCACGAGATTTCTCAAAGCTGATCTAGAAAGTCTACAGATGGAGAGGAAAGAAGCTGTGGCTCAGGATTTGCCTGGCACTTGTGAGGTCTCAGTGCCATTCCCAGCACTACAAAAAAGTAAGAGGTAAGTTTGTGGTGTTAGCCACATGGGGTTGCTCGCAGGCCGGGCCAGCTAGACCATTGTGCCAAGCTGCCCCTGGGCTGACCTGGGAAATGGGCGTGGCTTCTGGAACCGCTGCCTCAGCAGCACTGGGTAAGACAATACCTAAGGGAAGGTCTCCCTACTCCAGCAAGTAGAAACAAGTCCATGCATTCATAAGGTAATTTCAGCTGAACCGGAAGGTAGTCCCTTGAGGTCAGGAGCAGAGGGCGGGTTGTGCACACACCCTCTTGCAGGAATCCTTGTGGAAGCAGGAGCAGGTCTCAAGGTTCTGCATTTACATATGCCTGTTCTAGGCTGGCTTGAGGAAGAGTCCTTGAAGGTTGGTCCTCCGCCCTTTATTAGAGGGATGAAGGCCATGACGTGACCGCTGATGGGTGGACAGGAAGGGAGGGCAAGAGCACTGTGGCTTCCGCTGGGCGAGGGCCACTCCATGCTGAGCTCCAGTCCGCAAGCTCCCTGGTGTCAGTACCAGTGAGGCTTCGTGCTGCAGCCTTCCTTGGCCTCCTAGTTCTTTGCTTCTGTGGGGTAACCGCTGTGCGCACCACAGAGCTGCTGGGCTTGTCACAGATGCTTGATCTCCAGTGATGGGCCTGAAGCCTGGCCCTTGCTCTTCAGTGCTTCCAGTGCTGGCGAGAAGACCCACGGGGCTCTTACCATGGCCCCTCATCCTAGCTCTTTTATGTCTTTGGTGTAGGGTCTACAGTGGGTGTTCAGGGTCTTGCTATGTGGATTGGATTTGTTTTTTGTTTTTTTTTTTTTGGTGGAACTGGGGATTGAACTCTGGCCCTTGCGCTTGCCAGGCAAGTGCTTATTCCCCTGAGCCATCTCCCCGGCCCCCTGTAGATTGGATTTGTAGTG